GCTGCTTCTCGGTGCATTGTAAAACGGAGGAATGAGAGCTGCGTAGACTCGTAACTATGCCTGGTAGTAAAGTAGCAACGAGGAATGAGGCCGCTGGGCATTGCTGTTGAGTGCTTTGTCCCCTGCTGGTTTTACAGAAGAGATGGCCATGTCTTTGCCGCATCCTGAGGTCAAGTGCGAAGACCTGTGCTTGTCTTTCTCCTGGCCAGAGGGCCTTCCTGTGCCCAGGTGAGAGCTCACGGAGTGTTCATGTGGCAGCACTGAGCATCACCAAGGCGGGAACAGCAAGGGCCCAGACATGAGGAGCCCTGGACACAGGCTGGGTTCTCCCTGTGTCACCCCCCTGACCAAGGAGGGGATGGACGAGCAAGTGGATGATTGGCTGAGGGAAGGAATGAATCAATGGTGGACACGGCTGAACCTCTGTCTCCTCATCTGTAGGGTGAGGTGGGGAGCACTTCTGTGGTTTTCAAACTCTCTCCAGTCTTCAAACAAGGACTCAAATAGAAGCACTGCCTCTCAAGCAGGTGACAGCGGGACCGTCTGAATGAAATCAGGGCTGGCAGGCCTGAGCTCCACTGCCGTTCGCCTCCCTCTGCCCTCTCTACTGTCACTGGCCCTGGGTCACCTCCACACAAACAGAAAGACTGGGCTCGGGCATCCCCATGGTCCTTCTAGCCCAAGGCTCTCTCACTGCACGATCCCCCATGTACGTGTACCAGCTCATGCAGGGTCTTGGGGCTCTTTGTAATGGATCAGGGTCCCTTGAGGGTTTGGGGACAGAGCCAGGAAATAGCTCTGTGACCCAGCGGGTCTCAGTGGCAGGGTTCTCTATCAGGACCTTGGGGTGTGCGGGCTCCCCCAAGGCCCACTGCTGCGGCCCTGCTTCCTCCGCAGGGAGCCACGTGCTGACTCCAGGATGCCCGCCCGGGCCCTCTCCCCAGGGCTGCTGACGGCCAGCTTTCCCCGCACCCCTCCTGGGTGCCATAGCCCAGGCTGATAAAATCGCTGACGCAGATTGTCTGCCCAGCTGCGGTGCTGGCGCCAGCCCAGCAGCGCAGACGGCCGCTGGCAGTGGTTCAACCCATTATTGGCATCCTCACCATTGTCCTCCTCAGATCTTAAAGGTGTACGCCTCCCTCCTGGATCAAATGACAGCATGAGCCACGAGAGGTGAGCAGACACCGGCCTGGTGAGAACCCTCAGCTGCCTGGCCTGGTGGGGTGAGGAGGGTAGACACTGCCTCTCTTGATGGGAAATAATGAACCGAGAGGCCAGCAGGCCTGGAAGTTTGGGCAGAGGTTCGGAGTCTTCATTGGGCTCCAGGGAGACCCTTGACATCTCTGCCAGCTTTTCATAGAAGCCGACCCACTGTAAGGCATTTCACTTGTCCTGAGCACTGGAAATAAAACTTTCCTGTACCTTCCAGTTTATTGTGCTCAATTTCTCAACACGTTCACTCAATATGGCTTTATTGAGCATCTATTAGAAGCGGGGCACAATGTTAAGTTCTAAGATAAAAAAAGATGCCTCAAGGTGCTGCCCTGTCCTTAAGAAGTCTGCTGTGTCTTTACACGTCTGTCCACTAGATAATTAGGGTACCCCATGAGCAGTGCCCGGAGCGGCCAGCCGGACATGCAGAAGCATGGACCAGGCAGAGGCAAAGCGAGTCTGAAGGGCAGGGAAGGATTCATGGACCAGGTGATGCTTGAGCTGTCATAATGGCCGCGCGGTATTTTTCCAGGCAGAGGAGTGGGAGGGAAGGCACTCGGCGAGGAGGGCACACCGTGTGCCGGGGCAGAGAGGTGTGAACGAGAGTGGCGCGGTGGGGAGCGTGAGCAGTGCAGGTGCAGGGCTGGGCAGGCATGGTGGCCCGAGGCGGGGCTGGAGGTGCTGGCTGAGGTCATGGTGTAAAGGCTGGAACTGTGGCTTTATTGTTTGGGAACCTGATTCTGCTGCCGGGAGTGGGGACGAGGGATGCCATGGCTGTTTGTACTGCTCTAAGCTCAGAGTCTACGGGTGAGGAAAGGCCAGCGGGCTGGGAGGAGAAGGAGGAAGAGGCTGGCTTTTGGTGGAATAAAGCACGTCACAGGCCTGGAACTGCAGGAAGCACGTGCCCTGAGCCCATCCTAGCAACTTCTAGCTGCTTTGGTGGCAGGACGGCAGGCAGATTTCGGTAGCTTTCAGAGACCACACCTGGCTCCGGCCCCCTGCCTGCCTGTTCACCTCCCGCGCCCCCCGGGCTCCTCACCTGCTCGCCTTTGGTGTGGCCGGGGGAGGCATAGGCCTCCGGGTAGTGCTGCCTCTCAAACGGGCACTCAAGCGGCTCGAGGTGGTGCTGGCTGAAGGCATCCGTGCGGAGGTGCTTGCGGGGCCCGCTGCTGCTGCTCTGGGAGTCGATGCTCAGCCGGCAGCTGTCCTGGTCACCTGGCGGGCGTCCCCAGGCAGAAAGAAAGCTTTTAGGGGGCCCATCAACCCATCCCCCTGGCCAGAGTGGAGAAGCAGTCTTGCTTCGAGGGGTGGAAAGGACCAGGCTCCCGGGCCTTGGGGCCGTGGGGACTTCGAGATGGGCCACAAAGTCCTGGGCCTGGGGGAAGGGGCGGGGGTGGCTTCTGTCCCATCAGAGCCTGAACAGACTGCCCTCCTTCACCCCCAACCTGCCCTCTGGCTCCCACACACTCACTGTCGTCCATCTTCCTCTTGCTGTCGCTGCCGGGCGGGACGATGCCCAGGAGCCCGTTGATGGAGTAGGTAGAACCCAGAGAGTCCGACTGGGGAGACTCGGGGGGCGTCACGGCGGAGCTGGGGACTGCAGTGGGGTGAGAGGGAGTGTCAGGAGCTGGGACTGACACCCCTCAGAGCCCCGGTTGCCACCGTGGAGGAGTCAGCGGACCCGCCAGGGTTGTTGCCTAAAGTGTTCCCCCCCTTTAAATATTGCTGTGAATCCTCCCGGAGATCCCCACCAGACTTTGTCCCAGTGGAAAGGCGCAGTCCTCACACGGGTGTGTCTGTGCACAGCTCTGTGTGTGTGTGCTTAGTGTGTGTGCGTGCAAGGGGCTGAGCGTGCCTGCGGGGCCCTGAGCACTCACTCAGCGTGTGTCCTGGGCTCAGGGACTTGGTGGCCACACAGCTGTCCATGGGGAGGTTGAACGGTTGCTGCACTTTGGTCCGGATGATTCTGTAAGGAAGAGATGAAAGAGCCTTAAAAGAGGAGGAAACGGGGCTCCTGGCTGCCCCAGATCCAGTCCCCGTTTGGAGATCCCCCTTAGGTATCTAGAGGCACATCAGATTCAACCTGTCCACACTCAAACCCACACCTCACTCCTCACATCTGGTCCTTCCCACTCTTCTCATTCCCTGATTAGTTCCTCCGGTCCCTCCAGGCAGGAATACTGTTGGGGCTCAACGTCTGCCCTGCTCCCTCCTCCGTCAGGCCCAGCGTCAGGCTCTGTGGGTTTGACCTTGTAAATCTCTCCAGCATCACCACCCCATCTCACTGCAACCACCAACTCTCTCCCTCCAGGGTCACTCACTGGCCCACCCCTATCTGCTCTTGACTCTTTCTAGTCTTTTCTTTCTATCACAGCCAGAGTGGACTTTCTGAAATGAAAGTAAGCCTCCTGCTTAAAATTTGACAAGGTTCCCATTGCTTATAAGTCAGAGGCAAGAATATGTAGCATGGCCACCAGTTCTGATGGGCAGCCTACTCATGCTTCCCTTCTATCTACTGGTTTTCTTTCACTTTCTTGTATAAGATCCTGTTAGCCACAGGGCCTTTGCACATGCTGTCTCAGAGCTCCTTTCACTCCCCCTTTCAGCTAGTTAATTCTTATTCGTTATTTCTTACTCAGGAGCATCTTTTCATAACATGCCAGCCTATGGCAATTCAGAACCCTCATATGTCTCTCCTTAGCTGCCTTACAGCATCATTTTTACAGTTGTTGCAGGCACTTGACCACTACTTGATTGGTGTCTTCCCACTAGACTGTAAGCTCCACAAGGACAAGGCTTGTGTGTCCCCAGGTTCTACACATAGTGAATGAATTATGTATGTATGTATGTATGAATGAGTGAGTGAGTGAATGACTGATGGAGATAGTGAGTGAATAACTGAATGACCAACCAAATGAGTGGATGCCGGAATGAGGTCCAGGTTAGGGATCTCGTGTCTCTCTCAGGAAAGGATCAATTCAAGAGGAAGATTCTCTTATTGAATGAAAGAGGATGTGGTATGTGCGGGAGGAAACTGCAGAGAGAACAACCCAAGGCAGGGGTGGGGGTGGGGGTGGGGATGCCGCAGGGCAGTGAGGAGGCTGGAGGTGTGGTGCCTGCCCTGGGCCTGGGGCACTTCCTGCCTGACTCTTTGGCCTGCAGCCCCTTCCGAGGCTCTGTTCCACTCAAGCCAAGCTCTTCTTCAGGTCCCCGTCATGATGGCCCTAAAGCCCAGGGGCCCCGGCCCCCACTGCGGTGCCCCCCTCACCTGTTGATGGAGCTGACACTGGGCACAGTGTCGTTATCACAGACGCCCTCGGCCAGCAGCCGGTCGCGGATCTCCCAGGCAAACATGGTTGGGTTCTGCCGCTTGTAGTCCCCGATCTTCTCCACCACCTTGGGGGTGGCCACCTTGGGCTTGGAGCCCCCTATCACTCCAGGCCGGATGCTGCCAGTCTCGTAGTACCTACTCCAATAGAGAACCCCAAAGAATTACCCAATAAGCAGGTGGGGTCTTGGCAGGAACTTAGCCAGAGACTCTCATTCCCCCGAGGCTTCTGGGAAGGGGCCCAGGGTCGATCACGCCCCTGGGCCGGCCTCCATCACCTGATGTCCCCGGCACTGCCTGTTTCCCTTGCATGGGTAGGTTTATGCTGCTACCAAACCGGAACTCTCTTCGGAAGACCTCCCCCCAGGACACCTGGCATCTCCTTTTTCCCATTGGCCCTCTGGCCAGTTGCCGGCATCTGAGCACATGCAGGAGCCACCTTAGGGGGCACAAAGCATCTCCCTTCTAAGAAGGGACACCTTCACATCCACGCTCTGTGTGCACACAGGTTCACCATGGCTGTCTTCTCCATCCAGCTCCTCTGGGTTGAAGCATGACTTACTATCTTCCTTCGCCATCTTGGTTTTACCCTCCCTCCCCAGGAAGCCAGCTGGGGTCACTGGGCCCTCTGCCCCGTCTTGCTGGTTTTACTTTTGCTCTCCATAAAACACCCCCCAGCCACTACTCCCGGCCACTGGTTTTCTACCAGGTTACGTGGTTCAAGCTGAAGCCGGTCTTCATGCACTCTGGAACCCCAGCTTGGCCTGGAGCCCTGGCCACATCCAGCTGTCTAAGAACTGGGCCTACTCTCCCAGGGTCTCCACCCCGCCCCATCCCCCAACTGGCTTCTTCAGCAAATCAGTGACCTAAGTCAGGAGAGCCTGCCTCCCTTCTTGGTGGAAACTCTCTGGTCTCTTCTGCCATGAAATAAAATCAACTCCTGTGTGTTGGAGTTTCCCCTCCTTGGGAAAATGCACCCATCTGGAGACCACCCCCTCCTGATGCTAGCCGGGACCTCACTTCTCCCTGACAACTCAGGCCGGGAAGGCAGGGCTGTCCATGCTCAATTACAGGTCAGGCCTTGGCCACTTTGAACCTGAGCTCCTCTTGAATCCACTTACGGGTTGGGTAAAGGGACAGGTACAGTGAGCTGGCACAAAGCCCTGAGTCCCTTGTGCACACGGGCACTTCTGCTGGAAGTGGGCTCTTGTGCCCTAGACTGTGTGGCTGCATCAGTCCCCCAGTCTTCGTGTTCCTGATCCCTCCTGGACCTTTGGGTTGGTGGTTCTCTACTCTGGCTGCAGAACATTAGAATCACTGGAGGAGGGCTTAACCCTAGACCCCAGCTTGGGACCGTTCCTCTAAAGTTCTGCTTCAACTGGTGTGGGCTGGGGCCTAGTCATCAGTTCTTGACTGACTTCCTTCCTTCCCTCCTTCCTTCCTCTCTTTCTTTCTCTCTCTCTTCTTTCTTCTTTCTTCTTTCTTTCTTTCTTTCTTTCTTTCTTTCTTTCTTTCTTTCTTTCTTTTTCC